AGTGTCTCCACTAGTATATTTATTTTATCAGTTACAGAAGAGCATTCCTGTTGCTAAATTCGGCATCCTGGCAGCAAACATTGCCTGAATCAGGCATGTTCTTGCCACACCCCTTAGACACTGCTGCAGACTCCACTGGCTTTCCTTGTCTGGCCAGCTTCTGTCCTGGGAAAACTGCACACGTCTTCCTCAGCAAGCCCTGGGCAGCTGAGTTGTGCTTAGTTCCAGCTTTTTCTCCTCTTCCTATTACCAAAGTCCTAACTATTCCTATTACCAAGGTCTTAAGATATCTTTTTAGAAATCAAGACTAAGTGATGATCAATGTTATCTTTTGGAAATGTTTTTATTTTTATTTTTCCAGGCCCGATACTTTTTGCTTTGATGTACTTGGAATGCTTTCCAGAGATGCAAGCATTTCCTTTTGTGGCAAAAACTGAGAGTTGTGTCCTATCTGTTCTATCCTCCCTGTACACTGTCCCTCTCACAAAATAGAGCTACCCCACCCTCAATATCACTTGGACATGTGGTCACCCAGAATATATCCGTCTGGTCTCCTTTCAGCTTGGTTCAATTATGTGACTGAATTCTAGCCAATAGGAAATAAAGATCTGTTTCAGGTTGGAGAAAATGTCCTTAATAGGACAGGGCATCCTCCTATGTCTCTTTTTTCTTTTTCTCATTGTTTAAAGTATAGACATGACAACTGGAACTGGGTCAGCCATCCTGTATCACAAAATAGAAGCAATCGGACAGAAGGAGCTTGGAGTTCCTGATGATTTTAGAACTACTAAAATAGCCCTGGACTTAAGTTTTTATAGAACAGAAATAAATTTCTGTTTTGTTTACACCATGGATATTCTGGGTTTTCTGTCACTCATAGCCAAATCTAATTCTAAGTAATATACTCCGTATTAGTAATTCACTTAAGACTTTAGCAAATAAAATGAATAACAAATATTATGTATTAAAAATTTATATATTTTAAGAGAAAAAACCCACAATTTTGTCATTCTAATAGCTCTATTTTCCAATAATGCTTTCCAATAATTGTTGTTTTACTAAGGTATGTATGTTTCTTGGATTCAAGGGTTTTTTTTGGAAAATTTTATTGTAGCTGTGTAACTAGAATGGCTACTGTGCATTATTCTATAATTTATTCAGAGCTCCCAAATCCTATGTTCTCTTTAATTTACCTATAGTTATCTCTGTCCCTCCGAGCCTACCTCTCTTCCTTCTTTTCTTTCTTTCCTTATTGCTGCTGGTTTCCTCCTCCTCCTCTCACTCATTTTACTCCTCTATCTTCTCCTTCTTATTCATATATTTAGAGAAAGGTTTTGGGTCACTTTTAAGATAATCTATCTTAAAAAAAGAAAATAAGCCAGTTTGTGGGTTAGTATTTGTGGGCCTCAATTTCAGCATTCTTACAGTGCTTTAAAGGCTCCTGCCTTGGCAGGGATCCTGGTCACAAGCATCCAATGCACAGCTATTTACAAGTGAAGGGTTGTTGTTATCCTTTCACTCTTTTGAAGGATTAAGTCCTAAGAACCCTAATGGATACTCCCTTTGGGTACAATTATGTTGTTTACTAAACACTTTTCTTTGTTTCAGCTGTATCAGCTGGACTTTGAAGAAAGATCTCTGCCATGTGTATTTCTAAACACCTCAAAGAACAGTTTGTTATTCAAGAAGGCAGATAGGCAAGATAAGTAGCTTCTGAGCATGGGCCAAACTCTGAGCATGGGCCTAGGCGAGGGATGGCACCACATGGTAGACAGTGTGCTTGGGTCGCTTTCAGCAACTTGTCTGAGACTGTAGGGACTGCCAACAGTAGCATGACTAATACTCTTTGGAACAGTGTATTACATAGTGTGTCTGTGTATGACTTTGTACTAAAAACACCCGTCAATACAAGGGAAAATGTTTTCAACAATCACTGTAAAAATTACAAAATGTTCTTTTCTTCATTTAGATGGTTGCTTCTGATATCATTTGGTAAAAAATGAAGATATAACATTAAACCATAATTCAAAGAAATAACTTCCATAGAGAAACTTAACTTTATGAGGCATGGGCTTGTAACTTTCTGGTTATTTTCCTTAGTCCTGGAAAAGAATTTAGAATACCTTGTGCAGCCATGTTTCGTAGGTGTCATAGCGTACTCACTCTCACTTATTTTTGCTAGATCTTTTAGGACAAGTTAAAAGCTCAGTTGAGATAGTGAAACAAGTGCATTTTGTGTAGCTGTATGGCTTGACTATCAGATAGATGGATGAAAACTTACAATAGAATGAGAAAGTTGTTCAATGGGAATAAAACATTACTGTCAAAAAGAACAGAAATTCAGATTCAGCTGTGTGCTAGTCTGCCCCCACCTTCAGCCCTGGTTTCTAGTAGAGGGAATAGAAGAAGTGAGGTAAGACCAGTGATTCTGGGTGTTCTTTTATCCCTTAAATTCTACTGCTGCAAGACTCATCAGGTACAATTGCTTACTCAACCCTATTTTCTCTGAAAGTAGCAAGCTATGATGGGAAGAGATCATTGTAGATTTTTTTTTTCTCTCACTTTTCTTCAAACTTATCAGTGCTGTCACCTGAACCTATTAACCATGTGTTCTGGGAGAGAAGTGATATTAAATGCATTTTGGGAACAGATTTAACAATCCCCCTCATCTTTCCCAAAGAGGAAAATTATTGTGTCCCTCTACTTTCTCCAGGAAACTTAAGCTGAGTAAGGGTCTTCATAACTAAGGAATCTCAGTCCTACTTGAGTGGCTTCATCAAGAAATGTACATGTACATGTGGGAATAAGCAAGCATCAGAAATACCCAAAGTTAGAAGGTTTTAATGTTTCATGTCTTCCACTTTGCGGGGCATTAAGTGGTTCTGTGGCTCCAGAGGGACTCAGTTGTAATTTCAGTGGTCACGATGGTGGCAGGCGTAAACTAGTATCACGCCATCTGGGAAAATTGTCCTGATAATGTGTTTATATAATCGTTGATGCCCACTTGCCCCCAAAACTGTGAGTTCCCTGCAGTCAAGGATAGTGTCTGTCTTATTCACATTAGTAGCTTCAACACCTAGCACTGTTCTGACACATAGTAGAATCTGAATGGATACTTTTGAGTGAATGATTTTAATAGCAAACTGCAGAAGGTTCCTTGAACTCCACAGAATAGCAATTTCTAATACAGCTTTAGACAGGAATGTTGAAATAAATGACAACCATAGGATATAGGCAGTTGCACTTTGCCATAAAAATGTTTTTTCCACTGGGCCGGGCGCGGTGGCTCAAGCCTGTAATCCCAGCACTTTGGGAGGCCGAGACGGGTGGATCACGAGGTCAAGAGATCGAGACCATCCCGGTCAACATAGTGAAACCCCGTCTCTACTAAAAAATACAAAAAATTAGCTGGGCATGGTGGCACGTGCCTGTAATCCCAGCTACTCAGGAGGCTGAGGCAGGAGAATTGCCTGAACCCAGGAGGCGGAGGTTGCGGTGAGCCGAGATCGTGCCATTGCACTCCAGCCTGGGTAACGAGAGCGAAACTCCGTCTCAAAAAAAAAAAAAAAAAATGTTTTTTCCACTTGTTTAGGCATAAATTAAATTTTTTTCCTGTAAGAAATGATAGGCCAAGGGAAATCACATTAGCAATATTTATAAGAATAAGACATACTAGAAATGGATGGATTCTTTTTAACTTTAATTATTAAGAATTACCATTTAACTCAAATATCTGGTAAGATATATCACTGTAAAACATTCTTTGAATAACCAAAATCTTGTTTACTTATGTTGCTGTTTACTTTAAGGCAGCTATTCCTCTCTATGGGCCCCATAAAGAGCATCAGAATTTTATGGAATTTATAGTCATTGTAAATGCTATCATGAGGTTGTAGCTACTACACATCTTAGCTATATTAGTTTTTTTAAACTAGTAAAAGAAAATAAAAGAGGAGAAAACAAAGCAAAATCTGCCTTTCCTGGCAGGTTCATCTGAAAGAAACCTCAAACTATTATGAATACTTAACAACAGCATCTGTGTCTGAAACAGCACGGCTATTGCTCTCTAATTTTTCAACTTGCTTTGCTAAACAATCTCTAATTTTCTTCCCATCTCTCACAGCTTGCCTAACAAGTATTTTTGCCTATAATATCATGATCATGCATTAAAATATTCTATGATTGTCAGCAATTAATTTTCATGGTTTAGTTTTCGAGGGTGAGACACTTTCCTTCTTTTTAGTCATGTTTTCCCTTATTCACACATTTTATAAATAAATATTCAAACACTTCTAAATAAAATGTAAAAAAACTATAGTTGTACTGTAAAGTAGTTTTATCTTTAGCGTTTTTAATGAAAATCAATATTGGAATATTGGGATCAGAGCAACACAAATGCTTCCTCCATTAGTGTCCAGCATTCACTAAAGATTTGATCATCGGAAGGAGGGAAACCCAGAATATCTCTAGAGATGTTTTCTTGTGCAATGAGTACTGCTTCATCTCTTCAGTTGTAATTCTATCCATTTAGACTAAACTTAATAAGGCCTTGATGGTACATGTGAAAGATGAAATTATGTAAATACCTTTGTTAGGCCAAGCTGCTGAAGAAAAGCCTTCCAGCTGAGAAATAAGAGATATATACTCTTCCTTTTACCTTAGTGCTCATGGCAAGTCCAAACCAAAGCTCAAACAGTGGCAACTGTAGTTTGCATGATCTTTTATTTGTTTTCTAAGTAAGTGGAAGAAATAAAGTATTTTAGAGTTCAAATAATTTTAATTTAGTAGGTTTTGAGAAGAAAAGCAGTATAATAATAAAAAAAAAAAGATAGGGGAAAACAAAATATAGTATTTGTCCTTGGATGCTTAATAGGAACCACAATCTTTTGTGTGGTGTTTCTGAAGGAGCCACTAGCAAGCTTATCAGAACATCAGGTTCTGGCCAAATGACAGGATCTTGTTACATGTTCCTGACTGGTAAGTGTGTGATCTTGGTCCTTATTCCCAAACTGCTGCAGAACTCATCTGCCACTGAAGTGTGCAAAAGAAAATATTCCTGGAATCTTAAAAAAATTTTTGAAGTCAGTTACTCCACAAGTGAGTCTTACCTAATTTATGAAACAAACAAACAAAAAAATCAAAATTCTGTTGGATAGCTTGTGAGTGATTTTTAGGGCTTATTTATTCAGTACATTCATTTCATTGCTTTCACATGTTAATAGCTATTCATTCACTGTTCCCCCTGAATTGCATCTTAACAAGATTATACTCCCTTTTCTAATTTATTGAACTAGCATGGAATATATTTATGTAAAAATTAGCTGCTTAAATACTTCCTTGATGAAAAACATAGCTCTTTTAATTTTATTATGAATTTTAATCAGGAAAAAAATGACCTTTGAAATTTTCTTCTACTTAATTTTATATGTGTGTGTGCTTGTGTTTCTCTCTCTTTATATAATTAGAAATCTTTATAATTTGATTAAATTTTATATTGAAAACATGTGACTGGACAGTAAAAGTTTGTTTTGAAAGAAAAATCTTAAGGAAATAGTTAATAAATTAATATGACTAACGGAAGACCTTTTTTTCTTTGAAACTACTAATTCTTCCAGTACAGTGCATCTATTTCACAAGAAAACACATTCTGCTTTGCTTTTGATGAAGGTAATCCAAAAATGTCCTGTTCGTAGTTTCTTTTGATGCAAACTTCCAAGACATTTGGGTATCTACTGTAATTGTTGCCAGTCTAACAAGTACCTCTTCATACCATACCCAAAATACCAACTCATGAAAATGGTTGTCTGGTAAGAGGAACCAAATTTTTGTCTCCTGTTTGAAGATTATAAAAACACGTATGACTAGAATGAAGATTTAAATAAACGAGTGGTCCTTAAAGACTTTAATGTATAAAAGAATGTATCAGAGAGTGTTGTTAAATGTTTATTTTCAAACCCCAGCTTCAAACAGGCTGATCCAGTAGGTGTGGATTAGGGTTTCGGAATAATTTGTAATGAGTAACCTCAAGTGATTATCATGCTGGCTGTCCCAGGATCACACTGAGAATGCAGAGAATACTTATCAAATTACTAATGTAATTATTCATTTCAATGTCCCGATGAAAACCAATTTAGGTCATGTCAACTTTATGAAAGAAATTTGGTTAGTGTATTTGGTTGTGATTTTTCACACTTATTGCTGGCAGTGAGTTAAAATTTGAAGTTAAAAGATAAACTTTGTTTTCCTTTTTTTTTTTTTCTCTTTAGACAGAGTATCACTTTGTCAGTAAGCTGGAGTGCAGTGGCCTATCTTGGCTCACTGCAACCTCTGCCTCCTGGGTTCAAGCAGTTCTCCCACCTCAGCCTCCGGAGTAGCTGGGATTATAGACATGCGCCATCATACCCAGCTAATCTTTATATTTTTAGTAGAATCAGGGCTTCACCATGTTGGCCAGCTGGTTTTGAACTCCTGGCCTCAAGTGATCCACCCACCTTAGCCTCCTAAAGTATTGAGTTTATAAGTGTGAACCACTGCACCCAGCCAAAAGATAAATTTGGGTCTATTTTTAAATTGAATCTTTCTTTTTTTTTTTTTTTTTTGCTATGGAGTTGTTCGAGCTCCTTATACATTCTGGTAACTAAGCACTTGTCAGATGGACAATTTGCAAATATTTTCTCCCATTCTGTGGGTTATCTCTTCACTTTGTTGATTGCTTACTTTTCTGTGCAGAAGTATTTTAACTTTATGTTATTCCATTTGTCTATTTTTGCTTTTGTTGCCCATACTCTTGATGTCTTATTTTTAAAAAAGTCCTGTAGGATTTTCCCAATGTTTTCTTCTAGTAGTTTATAGATTTAAGTCTTTAATCCATTTTAATTTGATTGTTGTGTATGGTGAGAGATGGGGTCTAGTTTCATTCTTGTACATATAGTTATCTGGTTTTCCTAGAACATTTTATGAAAAAACTATCCTTTCCCCATTGTATATTCTTTGCCTTTGCTAAAGATGAGTCGGCTGCAAATGCATGGATTTATATCTGGATTCTCTATTCTGTTCTATTGTTCTGTGGGTCTGTTTTTGTGCCAGCACCATGCTGATTTGGTTATGATAGCTTTATAGTGAATTTTGAAATTAGGTAGTTTGATGCCTGCCGTTCTGTTCTTTTTGCTCAGGATTATTTTGGCTATTTTTTTTTTGTGTGTGTGTGTGGTTTAATACAAACTTTAAGATTTGTTTTCTATTTTGGTGAAGAATGTTATTGATATGTTGCTAGGATTGTATTTAATCTGTAAATTGCTTTTGGTAGTATTTTAACAATAGTCTTCCAATCCATGAGCATGGAATATCTTTTCAGTTTTTGGTGTCCTCTTCTATTACTTTCTTCAGTGTTTTATAGTTTTCCTTGTATAGATCTTCCACTTTGGTTAAATTGATTCTTACATATTTTGTATCCTTGGTGGCTATTGCAAATGGGATTGATTTCTTTATTTCTTCTTTAAATTGTCTACCGTTGGCATATATAAATGCTGCTGGTTTTGGTATATTGATATTATATCCTACAACTTTACTGAATGTATCAGTTCTAACAGCTTTTTGGTGAAGTCTTTAGGTTTTTCTAAGTAGAAGATCATGTTATCTGTGAACCTAAGAAGACATTTCTCAAAAGAAAACATACGAAGGGCCAACAGGTAAATGGAAAAATGCTCAACATCAGTAACCAAATGCAAATCAAAACTATAATGAGATATCATCTTACTTTAGTAAAAATGGCTTTTATGAAAAAGAAAAGAAACAAAAATCTCAGGCAATAACAGATACTAGTGAGGATGTAAAGAAAGAAGAATCCTTGTACACTGTTGGTAGGAATGTAAATTAGTATAGTCACTATGGAGAACAGCATAGAAGATCATCAAAAACTGAAAGACAGAACTACCATAAGATCCAGCAATTCCACCACTGGGTATATTTCTTACAAAAGAGAAATCCAATATATTGAAAAGATACCTGCACTCCATGTGTATTTCAGCACTAACCATAATAGCCAAAAGGTAGAATAAACCTAAGTGCCCATCAGTGAATGAATGGATAAAGAAAATATGGTCTACATATACAGTAGAATATTATTTAATGATAAAAAAGAATGAAATCCTATGACTTGTTAGTGACATGAATGGAACTGGAGGTGATCATATTAAGTGACATAAGTGAAATGCACAAAGTCAAATATTCCATATTCTCATTCATATGTGTGTGCTAAAAAAGTGTATCTTGTGAACATAGGTAGTCGGTTTGTGGTTATCAGAGGCCAAGAAGGTAAGAGGGAGGAGAATTTAAAGAAAAGGTGATTAGTAGGTACAAATACATGGTTTGATGGAAGAAATAACTTAGTATTAGATAGATCAGTGGGGTGACTGTAGTTCACAATCATCTATTTACATTTTGAAAGAGCTAAAAGAGAATAATTTGAATGGTTCTAGTATAAAAAAAATTTAAGCAAGTAAATATACCAGGTACACTATTTCGATGTTTACATTTTATATGAATATATTAAATTTTCATGTGTACTCCAAAACCATGTAAATCAATTATGCACCAGTAAAAAATTTTGAAAACAGAAAGAGAAAATAAATGTGGTCATCTTAAGTGGATATGCTTGTGTGTGTGTGTGTGTGTGTGTGTGTGTGTGTGTGTGTGTGTATGCATGTGTGAATTTAGTAATGGAAACTTCGTTCAGATTAACTGGTACTCATAAAACAAAGCCATTCATTTTGTTGCTGTTGTTGATTTATCAGAAAATTTAACATCAGAGGGATTATGTTTGAATATTTTAAGTAATTTAAGAAACTAATTGGTAACAAACATTTTCCAATTTGCACCATTTTATGATGCAACTATTCTCCTTAACCCCAGAAGGTAACTTCGCTTTTCAGTTGTTTTTACTTTCAGTGGGTTTTCAATGATTGTTCATCACATCATGACCACAGGGTAGAATTACAAGTCATTTTCCAAGAGAAGGAACCATTGGACCTTAGAAAGAAAAAAGGAAACAAATCATTAGTTTAATGACCGTGTTTAACATAAGAATCTGATTTGTTAGAATCCTTAACTGTCTGTCTAACTTCCCCAGAAAGCTTAAAGCCTGAAGCAAATGTTTATGTGAGATTAATTTATTAGGGAGTGCAATCTCAGGGAAGCAGGATGTGGGAGAAGGAAGGGGAGAGAAGGAGGGAATGTGTTACACAGCTGCCTACCACTTGGTACAGATTCAGATGATTACTTGATTTTGCAGGACCATACTCTGAGAGGGCATATGAACAAATGTTTATCAAATCATCCTGTCCAGAGGTAGGAGAAGAAATGAATTTCTCCACTGGTTTCTATCTCCCACTGGTCATAGTTTTGCCCCATGGAAGTCAATTCTCTTGTATTTCCAAACCTCATCAGGAACAGAATTCCCGGGGCAAGAAGTCAGAGTTCTGTAGTGCAGTCAGGAGACTAACAACTTTGTGTCCTGTGGTGTTGGTAGCTGAGTGGAGCTCTTGCAAAGTTTTTGGCCATGGCAATGCCTCAGGTAAAACAAGTGGCCAAGGGCCTTAGAGATAAGCTAGGCTCTTAGGAGGCAGAAAAGAGGGAGGTTTGATCCAATGAAGTTTCCTCTCCATATAGCAGAATAAAGTGTAAAACATGCTTCTATGAAATGCATTTTAAAAAATTCCGATCATAATTTTTAACCATGGCAAATAAGAAAAAGGAAAGCAGGTGACTTTTGCATTGATTTTTTTTCCTTCAGAAAAAATATGTTTTATGTTCTTAAGAAAAATAAGCAAATGGCATATGTTTCTGACAATATGGCAGATTAGACAGATCAGATTATTGAAAAATCTTTGCACAACATACTAGATAAAAAGATAGCCAACATACCTTTAAATATGTAGCAAAATGTGGGAAAGTAAGGACATTGAACTATGTTAAGAATGGGAACTTCTGCTGATCAAAAGACATTATTAAGAGACTGAAAGGTCAAGACAGAGAAGGGAAGAAAACCATACATAGCAAAAACTGTGTTTATACTCAGAGTATATAAAAGACTCCTGTAA